TCCTTCAGCACAGTGGCAACTAAAGTAGAAGACAACTTTTTTCAACAGATTGACTAAAAGGGGAAGGAAGAAAGAGGAAGTTGTAACTAGAGAGACCAGCTTCCTTAAGAGAGAGGTTTGTTTCTTTCTGCTTCATTTTGAAACAGATACAACATTTGAACATATTTCTATGCTGAAAAACAAAACACTGGAAAAGTTGAAGATGCAGGTAACAGAAGGGACAACTTGCTGAGAAAAATCCTAGAGAATGTCTACGGCATAGGTGTGATGGTTTTACATTTTTATCCTGTAAGTTTTTTCTTATTCCTCCTTTAAGTTGTTGTTCCATTGTTTGGTGCGACCAAGTTGGTTCCAAGTTATAGGGGCCCCATAAAAACAGATTGGACACTGCTTGGCCTGAGTCCTCCATCCTCACAATTGTTAGGTTTCAGCTCATTGCTGCAGTCACTGTGTTAATCCATCTCTTTTGATGGTCTTCTTTTTTGCTGACTTTACCAAGCATGATGTCCTTTTCCAAGTACTGGTCTCTGCTGGTAACATGTCCAAAGAATGTGAGATGAAGTCTAGCCACCCTTGCTTTTTAAAGAGCTTTCTGGTTTAATCCCCCTCTTCAAGAATGGGAGTTGTACTTACGCCTTTCTAGTGAATAGATTGTAGGGGAAATTATGGTTTATGACTTCTGAGATTACGTAATACAGCAGACAGCAGGTCTGTCTTGCTCACTCTTGGCTCATTCACTCTAGGGGAGAGCCAGCTGCCATGTGAGAACAGCTGCCAAGTGGCTCTATGTAGAGGCATGTGGAGGAATTGAGGTCTCCTGATGAGCCAATGAGGAACTATTGCCTCTTACCAATAGCCATGTGAATGAGGCAGGCAACCCTATGTGATTGCAGCCTCATCCAATATCCTTACTACAATATCATGCTAGACTGAGCCAGACAGCTATCCTGCTCAGGACCACAGGAACTGTGAGTTAATGTGTATTTAGTATTTCAGATTGCTAACTGTTGGAGTAATTTGATATACAACAAAAGATAATACATAAAGATGTGAATCCTTGGTGTAGGGCAAAAGATGAGAAATGCAAGGTGAAATGAGAAATGCATCAGTTAAATGAAAATTTTCCCTTCATACTTAACTGCACTACAGCCTTCTTTGACTGAACATTCTTCGTTAAGTCCCAAAGAAAGCTAATGGTAACATTTAAATAGCAGTCTAGAGCAATACTGTACTAATAATATCTGTTATAGACGCAAAAGACATTATTACTAAATTAAAATGTTCTCCTCCTTTGAAAATGTTTCTTTAAAAATAATATTTAAAATGTAACTTCTTGAGAAACGATGTACAAATGTGCTTTACACAATTGATGTGTGTATGGATTGGGATAACAGTTGTATGAGCCCCTAATAAAATGTTAAAAAAAAAAAAATGTAACTTTTGCAGACCACTTACCTGTAACTAATGCTGTTCCTTCATAATTCCATCTTCCTGCAAGTATCGCTCCACAGTGAGCTTCTACACTCTTTTCCACTCTTCCTAACTTGGAAATCAGGTGAAATTTACCTAAAAGAAGTTATACTTTGAGGAATCTATTTAATGAATTTATTTAGTCGGTGAACATTTATTGATTACCTTCTATTAGTTAGCATAGTATTAGGCCCCAGAAACATCAGGGTAATTAATGCAAAATAATCCTTACTCTCAACAAACATGCAGATAGATTAGAAAACAGCACAAAAACAAAATTATAAAACTATGAGACAGTGCTATAAAAAATATGCCTTTGAGAGTGGCGATACCGGGAAGGTGGAGGGAGGGTGGGGTGGAAAGGGGACAACAATTGTAAGGATCTACATATAACCTCCTCCCTGGGAAACGGACAACAGAAAGGTGGGTCGAGGCATCGGACAGTATAAGATATGACAAAATAATAATAATTTATAAATTATCAAGGGTTCATGAGGGAGGAAGAGCGGGGAGGAAGGGGCAAAAATGAAGAGCTGATATCAAGAACTCCAGTGGAAAGCATATGTTTTGAGAATGATGACGGCAACAAATGTACAAATGTGCTTGATAGAACAGATGGATGTATGGATTGTGATAAGAGCTGTACGAGCTCCCAATAAAATTACATATATATGCCTGTCAGTTTGTCATAGTGGAGGCTTGTGTGTGGCTGTGTTGCTAAAAGCTATGTCACTGGTATTTCAAATACCAGCAGGGTCACCCAAAGTGCACAGGCTTCCACAGAGCACCCAGACTAAGAACAGACTACAAAGAAGGAATAGGCTGTTAGCCTCTGGAATTCAGAGGAAATTAGCCACTGAAAACCCTGTGGGCAGCGTGGAACATTGTCAGCTACTGAACACCTCATGACTAAAAGTAAAACTTTGTCAGAGACAGTGCCATAGATGAAACCCTAAGGTCAAAAGTCACTCACAATATGACTAAGGAAGAGCTGTCTTCTCAAAGCAGAGCCAACCACAGTGCCATGGAGAGAGGACAGCCTGTTGGAGTATTTTCATTTGCTGACAGGGCAAGACGCAAAATGAGAAAGAAAAGCTGCCAACATCAATGAGTAACTGGAACTTGGAATGTACGTAGTATGAATCCAGGAAAACTGTAAGTCATTACAAATTAAATAGTATGGGCAAAAATCTATATTTTAGGCATCAATGACCTGAAATGGACTCGTATTGTTCATTTTTACTCACAAATGCCAGGAATGACAGATGTAAGAGGGATGACATTGCATTCATTGTCAAAAAAGACATTTCAAGATCTTCCTTGAAATACAGACCTTTTGTGATAGGATAATGTTTATCCACATGTAAGGAAATCAAATCAATACAACTATTACTCAAATGTATGCACCAACCATGAAAGGTAGTGAAGAAGAAATTGAAGAATTCCACCAATGACTTCAATCGGAAATGGACTGAACATGCAATTAAGATGCACTGACAGTGATTGGTGATTGGAATGAAAATGTTGGAAATAAAGATGAAGGAATAGTAGTTGAAAAATATGAACTTGAAGATGTTGGTAGACTTCTTCAATTTCTTCATCACTACTTTTATGGTTGGTGCATAAAGTTGAATTAGAGTTGTATTGATTGGATTTCCTTAAAGGCAGATAGATATAATCTGACCACAAATACCATGGTGGATTTAGCAAGATGCTTTCTGACCATGAGTGTCACACTATTCCTCTTCATTATGTTGTTCCTGGGACAATAAATCATATGATTTTCGGATTCCAAATGGCCAGTCCCAATGCATTTCCGCTCACTAATGCCTCCGTCATCGATCTTCATGCGTTCCATTTCATTTTTGACCGCTTCCAATTCTGCCAAATTCATACTTCACACATTAAGGGTTCCAATAATTAGAAGATATTTGCAACTGTTTCTCTTTATCTTGAGTGGTGCCCCATCAGCAAATGAAGATGCCGGAGGCTCCACTTCCACAGGCTTTCTCTGACTCATGTCACCATAGTTGACTCCCCTCCAAAAAATCATTTCTTCAGTCACATTTCAGTTGCCTTTGGACCAGAGAGGCCCATCCTCCAGGAGTATCTTCCTTTCTTTAGCTTTTGAAAATGTTTCAAACCTATGCAGAAGGTTTTCAGAGGCTTCTTCTTCCCAAGTGGGAAGCCAAGTCCTTCTTCATTGTTCTTTGTCTGGAAGCCTGTTCCCTTTGGGTGCGCCTGCTGGCATCTGAAATACCAGGGACATAGCTGCCAGCATCACAGCAACACACAAGCCGCCACAGTCCAGCAAACTGACAGACAAGAGATAGCCAGTTTCATTTCTATTACCAAGTTCATTTCTATCACCAAGTTGGGAACAAAGAGGTAGGACCAATAGTTGGAAACTAGGGACTTGTTGATAGAAATTAAGTTGGAGATCGCATAATAGAATTTTGCAAAACTAATGACTTGTGCATAGCAAATGCCTATTTTCAACAACACAAAAGGCAACTACTACACACATGAACTTCCTCGAGTGGAATAAATCAAATTGACTACATCTGTGGGAAACACGATGGAGACACTCAATATCAGCAACTGAAACCACACCATGGCCCATCCATGGAAAAGACCATCAATTGCTCTTATGTAAGTTCAGGATAAAGCCAAAGAAAAGTAAAACAAATCCACAAGAGTCAAAATATGACCTCGAGTCTATCCCACCTGAATTTCGAGTACATCTCAAGAACAGATTTGACACACTGAAAACTAATGACAGACTATCTGATGATCTGTGGTAGAACATCAAAACCATGAAGCATGAAGAAAGCAAAAGATCATTAAAGAGGAAGGAAAGCTAGATCAAAGAGACTCTCCCATAAGAGACTCTGAAACTTGCTCTTAATCATAGAGTAGCTAAAGCAAATGGAAGAAAAAATGGAGTCCAGGAACTGAGTAGAAAATTTCAAAGTTAAGCTCGAGACAACAAAGCCAAATATTACAATGAAATGTGCAAGGACCTGGAAGAAGAAAACCAAAAGGGAAGAACATGCTCAGCATATTTGAAACTGAAAGAACTCAAGACAAATTTCAAGCTTCGAGTTGCAATTTTGAAAGATTCAACAGGCAAAATATTGAATGATGCAGGAAGCATCAAGAGAAGATGGAAAGAATACACAGCCATGAAACCAAAAGAAACTACTCGACATTCCACCATTTCCGGAAATAGCACTTGAGCAAGAACCAATGGATCTTTACGAAGAAGTTCAAACAGCACTGAATGCATTAGCCAAAATCAAGACTCAAGGAATTGTGAGAATACCCATTGAGATGTTTCAGAAAGCTGAAGAAGCACTAGAAGCACTTATTTGTCTATGCCAGGAAATTTGGGAGAGAGCTACTTGGCCAGCTGACTGGAAGAGATCCATATTTGTACCTATTCCAAAGAAAGGTGGCCCAGCAGAATGCTCCAACTATAGACTGATGCCATTGATATTGCACACAAGAAAAATTTTAAGATCACCCAGCAATGGTTGCAGTAGTACATGGACAGGGAATTGCCAGAAGTTCAGGCTGAATTCAGAAGAGGATGTGAAACAAAGGGTATCATTGTTGATGTTAGCTGGATTTTGGCTCAAAGCAGAGAATGACAGAAATATGTTTACTTGTGTTTTATTGACTATGCAAGGCATTCAACTGTGTGGATCAAAACAAACTGTGGATAACCTTGAGAAGAATGATGAGAATTTGGGACCACTTCATTGTGCTTATGAGGAACTTGTATATGGATCAAGAGGCAGTTGTGCAAACAGGACAAAGGAATACTACATGGTTTAAAATCAGGAAAGGTGTGTTTCAAGGTTGTATCCTCTCACCATACTTGTTCAGTGTGTATGCAAAGAAAATCATCAAAGAAGCTGAACTTTGTGAAGAAGAATGTAACATCAGGATTGGAGGAAGGCTTATTAACAACCTGCAGTATGCAGATGGCACAACCTTGCCTGCTGAAAGTGAGGAGGACTTGAAGCACAGGCTGATGAAGATCAAGGATAGTAGCCTTCAGTTTGGATTACAATGCAATGTAATGAAGAACCTAAACCTCACAACTGGGTCAATAGGTAACATCATGATAAATGGAGAAAAGGTTGAAGTTATCAAGGATTTTGTCTTACTTGGGTCCACAATCAATATTCACGGAAGCAGGAGTCAAGAGATCAAAAGACATATTGCATTAGGAACATCTGCCGCACAAGACCTCTCTGGAGTACTGAAGAGCAAGGATGTTATTTTCAAGAACTAAGGTACGCCTGACCCAAGCCATGGTATTCTCCATTCCATCATATGCATGCGAAAGTTGAACATTGAATAAGAAGGACAGGATAAACAATCTGGAGGAGAAAACAACGGGACTGACGGTTCTGGGGGGCCTTGGGAGAGGGGAAGGTGGGGGAAAGGAAGTGGTTATTAACAACCCCAGGGACAAGTGAACAACAAGTGATCCAAAATTGATGGCGAGGAGGGTGTAGGAGGACTGGTAGGGCTTGATCAAGGGCAATGTAACTGAGAGGTATTACTGAAAGCCAAATGAAGGCTGAACATGATAGTGGGACAAGAGGTAAGTAAAAGGAAATAGAGGAAGGAAATAGGAGGCAAAGGGCAGTTATAGAGGTCTAAATAAAGGCATGCACATATGTAAATATATTTATATATGATGATGGGGAAATAGATCTAGGTGTATATATTTATAGGTGTAGTATTAAGGTAGCAGATGGACATTGGGCTGCCGCTCAAGTACTCCCTCAATGCAAGAACACTTTGTTCTATTAAACTGGCATTCCATGATGCTCACCTTCCCAATAGATCGCTGAAGAAAAAGCAGGTGCATAAGCATATGTGGTGCAGAAAGCTAATGGTGCTCGGCTATCAAAAGATATAGAATCTGGGGTCTTAAAGGACTGAAAATAAACAAGCAGCCATCTAGCTGAGAAGCCACAAAGCCCACATGGAAGAAGTACACCACCAGCCTGTGCGATCAAGAGGTGTCAATAGGATCAAGTATCAGGCATCAAAGAACAAAAAATCATACCGTTCTG